CCTCTAGTAATATATTTACTGAGAAAAATGTTTACGTGTTCAATACTTATTTTACCCGCTGTATATTCAAAATATTCCTGTAGCTGGGTTATTTTTGGAAACTAACCATGCATGAAATAACAACTGGTCAAAACTGTAGAATGTATGGATAATACAAATRCAAAACACTATGCTGGAGCATGGTTTACCCTCCTGATTAAAATTCAGTGTGTCTAGATAAAGTCTCACAATTGCAAATGAGGACTGTGACCTTTAGAAGAAACTTGTTCAAAAACAGATGGATATACAAACACATCAAATGAGTTTAATAATTACTTCAGCCTGAAATGGTTTTAGGTTAAGTCTGTGAGTGTGAAGCAGAGTTTGTCACAGTTGGTGTATTTTAAAAGAGAGGATGGGACAAACACAAATTCAACAACAACATTCAGGTGAGAAAATTAAAACTGATTCATAAACAAACAAAAACAACAAAGAAAAGTAAAAAAAAGAATGAACACTGGCTGACATGAAGATAGACAATGATTGTCAACAGACACAGAAAAAAGAACCTTTTTAAGGTTACGTTCAAACTGCAGATCCTAACGCTTAATTACGATTTTTTGCAACGTTTTTTGGACGTTCACATTATGTTTTAAATGCACCCTCCATCAGACTCCAGTATGAACTCTCCACWGCACTGATGTGACCCACGTGGACAGAAATAGATGTGACATCACATTCAGTTGGCTGTTTACAGAAGGATTTATACAGGCTACATGTTAGCATGTCAAATATGAAGTTGTACAATCAGAGCAAGTTAAATAATTATATATACGTATATATTATGTGATTGTTTAGTTCATTGTTTAGATTTTAACCATCCTCATCGTATGCTCTGGTGCAGCATTTTATTTCTGGAACAGCAGCGACATGCTGGAAGTAAATTATCGAATGAGTATGGTTTATGGTTTTATGGTTTATGGTGASTGGGGATGGATAAAGAATCCATATGAGCAGGGGCATAAGTGTGCCCATTGCACAATTGAGTAACTTTWGTATCGATACAGTWAAGACAGATGTTAATATCATATACTGTATTTCTAAGCATTCTCAGTCATCCAGGACATGGAAAATTAAGAGAAATATTACTTTATAACTGGACTTCTTTACTGTAGCTGAAGACATGTGRAGCTACAAGACTTAGACTGCACATAGTTGGCATCAATATTCTAAATATGTGGATCGATCTGCCCAACTCACAGAAGTAAAAGTCAGATGAAATGTGACACGAGTGTTCAGACTGAGGTCGCTTTGACAAACATCAGATATGTATCTGATTTAGGACCTCATACTGAAAAGGTCTGGGTTGGATTTGAAAAAAATCAGATTTGTCCTGATGAGATTGTTCAGAAAGTGACTGCAGTGTGAACGCTCATGTCTCATTCCATCGGACTTTTTCATCAGTGAGGAGGGGGTGAAGGATCGATAAGACACTAACCTCAAGTCTCGCTGTTTAAATCTGTAGCTCCGTGTGTTTACAGCTCCAAAACACAAGTCCAGTTGATTCATCTTTTTACTTTTCTTTTTCCATGTAGATACTGTAGTTTGATAATAACAATGTCCAGCCTGGGTCGCGGAGAGTATCGATCCTAAAGTTACTCAGTTGGTACTTTATTTCCAGCTCATTGTTTCGTTCAAAAAATAAAAAGCTTCACTGGAGCATCCCGGTCAGAGGCAGGTTCAGATATAAATACTGAACTAAACAAGTATGTCAGATAATTAATTGGCTCTGATTAAACAACAACTTTAGATTTGATGTGTTAAAAATAGCATCCATGCGTCCAACATAAAGAAAACATTACAATTTTCTGTTAATGGAAATAAGAGGTCTAGTCCAAACGCAGACTGAAGAACTTAAATTCAACAATTAAYAAGTGTGGCCACATTTTAGAGTTTGTCAGAGACACAGTTGGTCTGATTAACTATTTTGGGTGAAGTTTAAAGAAGCCATAATAATTTGGTTGGATGGATGCTCGACAGCTGGGGGGACATGTAGCTCGATTGAAACAGACAGAAAGCACCTATATTTTTAGATATAAATATTAGATTTAATCATAAATCGAAACAGGAAGGTGGTAGTCACACCAAATTTGAAGTCAATAAATTATGTTTACACGCTCACAAATTACTATTACGGCTACTTCATCTTTTAACTTTCCGCACAAGACAAGTCAGTCCAACTAATCACAGTTTTGCCAAATGCTCACACACAAGAACCTCCTCCTTTATTTCAAACTCCAAAAATCATGGTTAGGACAAACTCTGCTCACATGCCAAGAAACTCCCATGTACTGCAGAGACTGCTACTTGAGAAAATTAGGAAATCTTAAGCTAGCAGAAAATTCTTGTAGTCCAAGCACACAAACAAATAACAGACACACATTTTGCTGTTCATAGAGTTGTAATTATCTAGCTGGGACTGGGTTCTAACATTCTTCAAGATGAGAAGAATAAGTGGTTCCTAACTAGCCTGGTAAACTTTTACTCTAGTTGGAAACTCGTCCATCTCCACTGACATAAACAAAGTAAGTAAAACTTATCATTTTGTTCRTTTGAAGCAAAAAACATAAGAAGTGCAAATCATTTATAAACCCGATTTTAAACTTTATTCCAAGTGTGTTTAAGCTCAGGCTTGAAATCAGTTGAGTTGCTGACTTTTACAAATCTCCTTTAAGGTTTCTTCTTCTCCTCTTGTCATTCGTAGCAGAGTGTGCAGCCTGCTGATACCACACTTTAATCAGGTACTCCACCCCTCACTGAGCTCAGAGCAGCTTTGTGGACAGTGTGTCCTTGCATGTCTCTGTCACACACACACACACACCCATACAGGCTCATACACCTAAATCAACGCGCCATCATTCTCTGACAGCCGCGCTCTCCCATCATACAGCTGAGTGGAAAGATGAGTTGCCTGCAGCTCATGGGGCAGAAGGTGAAAACACRCACATTCAAGTGGAAATAATCGCACGCACGGCTGAGCAGCTACACCTTCAACAGACTCTGTCGCAAACGGCTGACTTGCAGCACATGGCGATTCCCTTTTTACTTTCAATCAGAAAGCTGGACACACAACTCCTGGACCTGCAAGCAAAGTAATAGAGTCCTAAACACMGACAGAAACAAACCCTGCAGATAAATGCTGGGTTTCCCCTCATGTATTTAAAACACAGTAGACTACAGCTGCTACGTGTTAACTCGGCATATGCCTGTCTTTTATTCCCTTATGCCACCACGACCCAGCATGTGTCTGCAGCTGCTGACCTACAAGGTCTCTGTACTCAGACTTAACCTGGCTGTGACTCACCGATCTCACAGTTCTCTCCAGAGAAGCCCTGAGGACAGTAGCAGCTATAGCCATCGCCTTCCTGCAGGCAGCTTCCTCCATGGAGGCAAGGGCTGGTCTGGCATGGATTATTCTCCACTGYAAGGAAAGATGACAGAAAGGTTAACCTAAGGAATCGTTTACTATAAGAAATGTGGCTTGAAAATTAATAAAGTTTRTCAGCCAGCAACAAGTTTTATCCCCCCTGACAGGTCATCCCTGATCTCTAAAGCCCTGTCTCCATTGTCCAGTCTCACTCTATTTGGTTGATGTCTGTTCAGTTCTGCTCAGGTGTGTGTCTCCTTAAGGCTCGGCGGCAGTCGCGCTTTGTGTGTTGCGTGGGTTGCCAATGGTGTAAGCGTTTATAATTAATGCTTACATTATTGTAATATTCCCTAAAATGACACGTGACTGTACACTTTATAACTTGTGAAATGTTGTAAATACCGTAGGTAACACAGTCTCACTCCTGACTCGTCAAATATTGGCACATTTCTGAGCTTCTCTCTGCGTCTTACTTTGACACGTCGGGTACACCCGTCACGTTTGACGCACCAGGCATTTCTGGGTTCCCTTAGCGTCCAAGTTTGATGCGTAGGGATGCAAATATAGGGATCTTTGACTTGGGGTCCATGGTTAATATTAGGGATCAGGGTTCATGGTTAATTTTAGGTTGTGGGGTCAAGGATAGGATGTCTAGGGCGAATATTAGGTAATTTTAGGCTTTGGGACACAGTTCACGTGAATTTCCTACACTTCATAAAAATGGTTATTTTAGGGATCAGGGTTGATGGTTAATTTTAAGTACTAGGGTCAGGGACAGGATGTCTAGAGTGAACAAAGGTAATTTTAGGCTTTGGGATGGAGAGATTTGTGCATTTTCTACACTTTCTGAAAATATGACAACGAATTCCGCCCCATCTCGTCAATAACTGATGCGAGGGGGGTACCAGACGCRTCARAACTGGACACAGAGGGAACCWTGGAAAAGCATCAATAYTTGATGACTTGGGAGTGAGAAWGAGTTGAAATAGGAGGAATAAAGCTTGACAGACAAACTATTTGAACGGYGCGCAGCCCATGCAAAGTTACAAAAATTCGTAGGTGTATGATCCCTGGGGCGGGGACGGCACGATTGCATCATGGTTGGCACGCGCACCTTTGCACTGTGTTCAAGGTGTCGACTATAAACCAGGTTTCAATGTGTCCCTCACTCTGTGAGCGTGATTCTGGGCGAATCGTCAGCACACAACTTCAGCGGTTGTGGTGAAAAAGGAAAAAGAAAAAAAAAGTCATTGTGGTTTTATCGTCCGGTAGTCTGATGTTWTTTTGGGCACAGCACTGTTTATAAGTGTGTGCGTAACTGTGGGCGTCCAGTTTGTCCGAAAACTCCCGGGACATCGGCTCATTTCAGATGGCTGTATGCGCTTTTCTCCTTCACCGCTCTCTTTTGCTCTTGTTGTGTCTGTCCTGTCCCTTTAGTAAAGAACTGTGTGCCAGGAGGATGATATGTCAAGTCGATCCCCCTCTGGCCAAACTGCTCAGGTACAGGTCCATGTAAATTAGCTGATAATCACCCAGTCATGCAATGTTGTGTGAGAACCAGGGCTGGGTACTGATGTAAAGGCTTTTAATGTTAGGTTATAACTTTGTGTCCCTTTTTAGGAACTGTTTCAGCATTAAATGGTGGAGATCGAGAAGATTAAGTCGTAATTACTGCTCTTAAATTTTAAGATGGGACAGAGAGAGGAGGAGACGTTGATAAGGACTGTTAGAGCATGGAGAAGTAGTCATAATTTTTTTATTCYGTGTGCAAAGAGGAATCGTTGGAACTAATTAGATTAGGTGTMTTTAATATCCAATCTTGATATGACTGGAGGCCCTGACACAGTCTGTTAGGTTAAGGTTATCTAATACACTGCATCTTCTCCATAATAACATGCAGACTCACTTAATGATGTATGAGCGGAGGGACGGCTGTGCACTGCACTGAAACTCTGGGAATTTGCGTGCAAGTTTAATTATGAATGCTGACATGTCCGAGCATAGGTGTGTTAATTTATGGATGCTTGTCTGACTTCCTGCATGATAGTCTGAGATAATGTGAACATGTGTCCAACTTCCTGAGAAACAGCTAAATAGACTCCATCTGCAGCAGAAAAGCTAATAATGATACCCTGACCAGAGGAGATACAGTCTTTGAAAATACATAAAAGTGATTTGCTTAATTGGAAGAGCTAATGAAGTCTTTTCCTAATTCAAAAGCAAGAAGGGACTAACTGTGATTTTATGTGCTATGAAAACACACATCGCTTAAAGGTTAATGATGTGTGGATGATTATAACAAAAAACTTCCATGATGGTGAGAATAAAAGAGCATTTTGATACAGAAAACAGAGAAGAGAAAGAAAAAGCYGAGTCTTTATCCATCCATTACCTTATCTGCAATTTCATTGTGCTCTCTGTACRATGGCAATTAAGGTCTCTCTATTCATAAGTTTACAACAACGGAAAGAAAGTTAGCACACTGAAGTGACAGCCATCTTCAGTTTCACACTTATTGCCATGAAAGTCAATAATGTATTTGTTTATCACATTAAAAAATAGTCAGAAATCAGTGTCAGAAAACAAACCACAGAAGTGCCACACATTGCTTACACTCACMCAGTTTCCAGTTTTGCATCTTTCCAGTTTAAATATAGATCCTTCAACTAACTTGCCACAATGAAGTAGCTGAAAAAAACCTTCTTTGTCTCAAAATGGTAAAACTTTTAGGTTGTAATATGGTGCATTATAGCACAGTATTTAATTTGTTTACTCARTGCATTATTTTCCACTACAAATGTTTTTTTTTTCCAAAGTTTGAAATATTACGATCCCACATGCAGCATACCATATACAGTATTGCATAAAAAACGAAGGTCATCAGGACCACTCTTATCATATCAGGGATATTCAACAGGTTGGAATGTTTTGGCCCAAATCACAGAGTGTGTGGTGTTTCCCTGAGGACAAATGAGCTCGCAGCCTGTAGAATGTGATGCGTAGCCAATCAGAAAACTAGGTGACAGAAACACGGAGGGTAATCCAAAATACCGAAGACAAAACAACTGACATGGAGCACCAGAAAGTCTGGTAGACATCAGAGATGTCTTTTTGTTCTCTATTTTCTCTGTTAAAAGTTGTCCACAAACTATATCCATTCCTTCTTCTTTGTTGGCCACATAGAAAAATGCTGACATTTGGATTTAACTGCCGATGGCAAAAAGTGAAAAAAAAACTTGAGAAGTTACATTACAAAATGCTGAATACTGAGTGGTCTTGCTGCATTTTTAAAGAAACATTGAGTTTTTAACCCTAAAAGTAGCATACAAGCTGTATAAACGCAGAACTACATCTAATATGAGCACATTTCCTAAAAGCCACAAAAAATTGAGCTAAAACTTAAAAGTAGGCTAGGCAAAAGCCATTAGTAAAAAAATTGCTAGCCAAAAAAGTAAAAGTACAAAAATATTGGGTAAGGGCTAATACACTAGAAAAAGGCAACAAAAATACAAGCTAAAAGTTAAATGTTGAAACCAACGGCCACCTAACAGTAGCAGAATAATAAGTAAAAGCTAAACATAGCTTAAGAAGTCAAAAAAGAACAAACATGTTGAAGCATAGGTCAAAAACAATATTTTTTTAAATATTTGAAGAAATTACAATGTAGTTCAATTGGGATTTTTTTATTTTACTTTTGAAAATTATAAAAGTTACAAAAACCAGGAGCAAGAT